GAGAGAGAGAGAGAGAGAGAGAGAGAAAGAAAGAAAGAAAGAGAGGGAAGAAAGAGAGAATCCAAAGGAGGAGGCCCTGCCCAAATTCCAGCGCCTGCTTATCCAGGTAAGGGGGGAGTGAGAAACCTCGCTCAGTGGTGTGGGGATAATTGTTGGATAGTTTGTTTGTCGGATTGGCCCCCAATCCCTTGCCGTTGTGCTGTCTTATTTTCTGTTTGCTCTACTTTATTACTTGTTGGAAATAATAAATGATTATGTAATCCAAATCCCTTGCCGTTGTGTGCCGCTGAGGCCGCATACCAACGATGCTAATAAGGTGTACCTTAGGGTCACCGACAGTTGATGCTAACAAGGTGTACCTTAGGGTCACCAGTGATGTAACTTGCTAACGAGGTGTACCTTAGGGTCACCGGTGATGTAACTTGCTAACAAGGTGTACCTTAGGGTCACCAGTGATGTAACCAGGTGTACCTTTGGGTCACCAGTGATGATATGTGAAACTTCCTTATGGCGCCACATGTATGCATTTATGAGTCGAGTTCATGACATCATTGCATGATAAATGAGTATATATGTGATATTGATGATGTATGTGTATTGTTTATATGTGACTTATATTTGTTGTGTGTGTGGGTGCTATCTAACCTTTATTTCTTCACCTAAAACTGAGTGAGATGTTTCTCACTCCCTTGTTGTTTTTGTATGTTTAAATTATGTTGCAGGTGAACAACATCATGAGGATGTTGGTGATGAGGCTTAAGGCTTCAGTTGTGCATGCTCTGATAGGATGTGACATCAGGCATAACTAAGCTTGTTTTTTTGGATGTTATTATTTTAAAAGCTTTAATTTTCTCTTCCTTTGTAATTTTGAACGTTCTTGAGAAAAGATCAAAATGTATATCTTTGTCATACTATTTTATTACATGATTTGAAAGTGATATATTAATTCCTAACTAGGAGGCACTGCCACCTTTACTGGAATTAATATATATTCTCCTTTATATGATTTCTTGAGTTTAATACTTATCTTTGACTTTTTTTGTATGATTGATGAGTTACAAATGTGAATCTTCTACCTTATGAGATTTGAAGCAGTTGTTTTATACATGAAAGATGTTATTAAACTATGAAAGATTTTATTTACTCAAAAAGAAAAAAAAAATTATTGTTTACATTTATTGTGTATTAACGTTGGGGTAGAGGGTGTCACACCATTTCAATCAAACCAGATACAAATTCAGTTTTGTCTTTAAAGTGAGAAGGTAAGAATGTATCTTCTGATTTACTCGTTTTAGAATAGCCAAATCCACCTGAAGCAGATACTTTATCTTGTCGATAACTTAGGCATATTGAAAAGTTCATATTTTCTACTCAGAAAACAGAGAAGGAAGATGAGAAAGTAAACCATGCTGCAGTTCTAGTATATCCAATAAAACTCAACCGAATATGTTTAAAACATATAAAGTTTCAGCTGGTAAAACACTGAAAAAATCATTCATGGGCAACGCGAATGACTTGCTTACCAACGTTCTTGCCATGGAAAAGCCCAACGAAAGCAGCTGGACCACTTTCCAAGCCTTCATTCATGTCTTCAATATACACAATCTTTCCCTGCTTGTAGTAACTTGAAACCTCTTCCAAAAAGCGAGGGTATAGGTGCAAGTAATCACTTTGCAAAAAACCCTCCATTTTGATGTGCTTTATGATGAGGTTGTATATATTGTATATCCCTTTGGGTTTGGAAAGGCTTTGCTGAGACACTGCCCCACAAACTGCAATTCTACCATGAGCCCTCATGTTAAGGAGTGCAGCATCGAGCATGTCCCCACCCACATTGTCAAAGTAGATGTCAATGCCTTGCGGAAAGTACCTGTTATGTGAGCCAGGATAAATGATGTCTTGAATATTGTTGTGGAAGCCATGAAGGATAAAGTGAGAAGAACTCAAATTTGGAACCTTATTTCTGAAACAAACTTTTAAAAACCATTTCCCTATACATAGACAATAGCTAACAATTCAAACTTATATTCTTCTAGTGCTTGTTACACACCTTTGTAGAGTTGCATTTAAGTCTAATTCTTCCTTGTAATTAAAAGCTTCATCGAATCCAAGCTTGTTCTTTAGAAGGTCAACCTGATATAACAAATTTAATGAGAAAATCAACAAAATACTGAGTTCAAGTATTTGTGTGTGCATCCATGTGTGTCTAAGTGTCAATACTTCATCTATTGTATACATGAAGGAATAACTAATTCAAGCAAAGCATTGGGTTTTTCTTTTTATTTTCTTCTGGCAATTGTTATGGAATAAATAATCAGTGAAACTGACCTTTTCCTTCGACCCAGCACTTCCAACTACATAGCAACCATACAACTTAGCAAGTTGGCCTACTAGCTGACCTACGGCACCAGATGCTGCAGACACAAAAACATATTCTCCTTTGCTTGGGGAGCAGACCTCATAAAATCCTGCATAAGCAGTAAAACCTGGCATTCCTATAAAATTAAAAGGAGAAACGAAGTATTAATTATTTATCAAACTGTAGCACCACTGGAAGGGTAGAAACTGGTTTCACTATCATATCATATTCATATAAAAATCAGAAAAAAGAAAGCCTCAATGGCAAGAGGACATGCCATGTTTTAACAACTATTCGATAAAAAAACATTGAATAAAAAGATAAACTAAGGAAGTCTTAAAATTAACATTTAGAATAATTTTATCATGAGAAAATTTTGCCTCTATCTCACTCGTTCTATAGATTTACTTATCTCACTCTCTATATATGTGTTTATATATTTATAAAAAGTTGTCGTTACAAGTGGTTCAACGGACAGTTGTGTTCTTTAATCAAAGTCAAAATTTAATCTTTAGTTTAGGCATGGAGTCGCAACTAAAGTACCACTAAACCCCTAAACTGAACCGACCTAGTAGAGGAGAGTTGTACCTCCTAGACGAATTCAGATTCTCTAATTTTAAAACACGAAAGTTAGGTAACATGCATTTAAATTGTTAGATTTATAAAAATAAATCATACTGTGACACATGTACGATATATATTTTTAACTTAAATGTACACGTGTTACAATCTGACCTATTATTACAAATTCAATAATTTAAATGCTACATAAAATCAGAGCATCCATTTCCCTCCTAGGCTCCTAGTTAATTAACATGAGATGACTCATTCCCAATTTCCCATGACCTCATAAATCATATCTATCAGGAAGCACAAACAGAGATACGAATATAACACCTCATTGACATTCGGATACAGTAAACTCTAAAAATATAAGATATAAGCATAGAAAATTGAAGGTAAAATAAAGAAACAGTCATGTCTCCTAACTTGATTGAATGGAAGGTCCAAGGCATACCAAGAAGACCAACATGGAAGGAGAGAGGAATGGCATCATCTGGGTGAATTTTTCTCAACTGCTCTGTTCTTCGGATGAGGCTGTATTCTTCCCAGCCAGTGAAGCCGGTGATGAAATCACCAGGCTTGTAATTTGGGTTATCAGAATGTATAACCTTAGACACCCCAAATCCTTCAAGGGCCTTCACCAAAATGCACATGTACTAAGCTCAGGAATTGCTTAGTGTACTACATTATTGTAATATAATTTGAAAAGAGAAGGAAGAGTTAGTTACCTGACCGGGAACGAAAGGGGGGATGTATGATCCATGGAAATCACGCATGCGACCGCGCATGAATGGATCGCAAGAGAGATAAAGGTTCTTGACGAGAATAGCTTGTGAACCTTGTGGGGGAGGGTTGAGCTCAATTTTTGAAACCTTGAGTTCCATATCGGTTTCATTAGGGACACCATCTATGTAGCCTTTGAATAAAACCTGCTTGTTTTGCAGTACTTGTGCCATCGGAAGGGATCCAAATGCACTATGCAATGGAAAGTAGTTGAGTTGAGTTGAAGTTGAAGAATGAACGGATGGACAGAGCCACTGAATCAAAATTTTGACCCTATGAAATGAAGTATCTACCGTCCACTGTCCAATCCCCCTCTACCTAACACCCTCCACACGTGTCACTCCAAACTACCACATGGGAAATCATGAAAATTCTGCAAAACAAAACTACGCTCCTTAATATGTATACTTTATGTTATTATTAGTTAATATTTATTAAAATAAAAAAAAAGTTATTAAATAGAGAATGGATTTATATATTATTTTAGTTGTTAATAAATTTCAATTTATAATAAAAAAAGTATTTAAAAAATGTGCTGCAATCATTTTCCTCTCATTTATAAAGTTAATATTTGTGCAACAAAAAAATATGTTTACAAAGTGTTTATCGATGTTTTTTAATTTTTATTTAGAAACTCGCCTTATTATACTAATTCAGATTTATCTCATTTGCTTACTTTTTTGCAAATTGATCCAATTCGACTAAGGTTATAGTCATATTATGCTCATAGCCTGATTGATAAATTATTTATATAACATACTCAATTCCAACAAGGATAATAGTATTTAATAAATTTATTCAAATGTTTAAATTATCATAAAAAATATATTTATTTATTTAAAAATATTTAAAAAAATTTAAAACTTAATAATAAGAATAATAATCAATCATAATCTTTACGTGTAATCAATCTATATGTCTCATCTAATATCAATTCTATAATAAAATAAATATATATATATATATATATATATATTGTTAATAGGAAAATTTCTATATTATTAATTGATTTAAAATTACTTTAAATATAACTTTTAATGTAATTACAAAAGTCAATAACTTTTGTCTTAGATGATTCAATAATTTTATTATATATCATAAATTATTTTTAAATGACGATAGAAAAAATACATATATTATTGATCAATTTAAAATCACTTTAAATATAACTTTTAATATAATTATAAAAGTCAATAACATTTTTTTTTAGAAGAGTCAATAATTTTATTATACATCATAAACCATCTTTGAATGATTGTAGAAAAAATACATACATATTAGTACATTTTAATTAAGCTATATATTAAAAAAAATGCATCTTTAATGGGTTAAAAACTACCTTATAATATATATA